GACTAATTCTGGCTGTTTTAATCTATGAATTGTCATCAGTGTCGCCTTTTAAAAAAAAAAAAAGGAAAACTAATTGCCTAACTCTCGTACATTAGTAGAAATGCTTATTAATTTAAAAAGTCTCAGTCCCATGTCCCTGTTCAATAAACCAAAAAAAGAAAAAAAAACATAAAGACTACTGCATGATCCCATTTGCATGAAAACCATTGCTACTTTGTTTGTGGTAAACAAAGCAGAGCCACCAACCATAGCTGGGGACCAAAGATCTGTAGGAAGGATCAGCAAGAGCTCCGCTCATGAAGCCAAAACTGGATCCTCCATGGAACATGTACAGGTTGACAGACATGCCTCGCCTCAGAATTTCCCTCATGGTGGACACCATATCTGGTGGGGAAAATAAAAAATTATAAATGCTTCTTAAAGAATTTTATCACCTTAATTATAATTTCATATTTGATACTTTTTATAACCAGCTTTAAATAATGACCTGTTTCCAGGTGCTTAAATAAATCATGCAAAAGTAGTTTAACCATCATTTTTAACATTTGCATTTCTAATGTTGGCATAGATGACCTTTCACTTGAAAGAACATTGGGACTGAGATGGAAATTTCTGCTTAAATTAGATTGGAACTATTTAAGAAAAAAAACTTTTGAGAAAAATAAAACTTGACACAAATTAGTTGCTTGTGTTTTAGTCTTTGCTGTGCATAAGTTGGTTTATCTGTTAGCAAAATATCTCATGAACCATTAAATGAATCTTAATGAAATGCTCAAAAATATATTATTGGCTGTAAACATCTACAACTGATTGACATTTGGAGTCAACTGAATTCAAGATAGCCACCACAGCTAACTGATCTTTAAAAACAAAAATGGTTACAAACCCATTCAATTTAACAGATACTGACTAAAATGTGTTTTGGTAGCAGCAGTAGAAAGTCTTAGCGGTGGTAGTAGCTAATTCACAACAGCACTGACAACATTATTAGATCCGTTTCCTCTGTTGAGTTTTGGTCACAGTTGTACTCTTAC